CAGCATGGCTTGACAAGTGGTGCGTCAGTGTGTGCCCGGGATCCAAACCCTGGGCCGCCGCGGCAGAGCACGCGCACTTAACTGCTACACCACCGGGCCGGTCTCCTAAAAGAATTTTAGACAGGACTGTTCCAGGAAGGAGATGATACCATAAAGTAACTACAGTATAATATAAACTAGGTGTAGACAGGAGGATCCTTGCTAAGCCCATTTTTATCAAAGCTCTCTCTCCAGTCACATCGTCTATAAACGACACAGCAAACATTCGTGTATCAAACATTTGCTTTTCCATCTCCATGTAAATTGCCATCCTCTTCTTTGAAGTCCCAAACCGCCCCCCTCCTCCCCAAGTCCTCCTATGTCTTTAGCTGAAAATGGTATTTAATGTGGTGGCTCTGGCCACTTTGGCGAGTTCCTCAGTTTTCCTGGGTTTATCCCATGTATACATGTTATTAAACTTTGTTTGATTTTCTCCTATTATTCTGTCTCATGTCAATTTAATTCTTAGACCAGCCAGAAGGACCTAGAGGGCAGAGAAATAGTTTTTCCTCCCCTACAGTTTGGCGACCATGAAGAGACAAAACTTCACTGGAACACTGCGTCCTCCTGGACTACCGCAGCTAAGAGATCCTGGACCCCTGAGAAGAGCCAGCAGAAGGTAAGAGTTCTTACGGCATCAGTCTTCCAGATCTCTGCCTGCAGCATCCAATGGAAGCAAGAGTGGTGAGTTTTTTTCCTTTTCTAAATTTAGATTAGCAGGAGAAAATACTGGTGAAGCTAGCTTCTTGGACTCAGCGACTGGGAAATTTGGTTCGAGTACTCATTGATTTATTGATCCTTCTCCTCCCAGAGATGGTCACTATTTTTCCTTGTCTCTGTCTCTTGTGTCATAAAAAGGAAAAATATAGGGCAAGATGCAGGCATCTCTATAAGCCTGTTGTCTGGGAATACGCACATGAGGTGAAAGCTATTGCTAAGCGCATCTTGGAAGCCAAGGAGGCCGCAAATTTGGTGGGCATGGGTAGAGCAGTTAAGAGCCATTAGGGCACTTGTCACCTCAAGAAGACTCCCATCATAGGATAAGTTGGTCATGGAATGGGGTAGATGACAAAAAATCCCCCACCAACCTCAAGAAAATTTCCATGCAATGAGGTACTCTGTAAAACACACACATTCCCCAACCCTGCGGCATCTCCCTCCTAGGTATTAGTTTCGCTCCAAGAGAGCCTTGGGTTAATGTGCATATAAGATGAGGCTTTTTCTTTTGTCTTGTTCTATGTCTTGAGAGCTTGGCTTTGTGACCAATCTGGTCTTTGCCATCCGGAGGATGCAAGTACCGGTGTGCATCTTGGTGGCCAGTCGAACAAACTGGGGTTCTGAGATGCACTCTCTTTGTCCGGCTGTGTCAGCTCTGAGGGGAGTTTGTCATAAGGGGTCCCAATTGCTTTCATTAGGGGCCTTTGTCATTTCAACTTTCATTGCTTCTTCACTCTGCCTGTGTAATGAAGGCCTTTGCATTCTTAGACTATTTTTGGGAGTAAATTTTCTGAATCTTGTGAGGGCTGCCTCTTGCATCCATGGTTACGTCATAAAAGGCTTATTGGTTTGAGTCGCTATTAAGATCCTACTCATCAATGGCCAGACGATGGATCATTTAAATTGAGAAACTTCTAAATTGGAAAAATTTGGGGGGAGCTCTCATCATAATTGTTTTACTGGTACCTATGAAAAAAACAAATTAAAAAGGAAATAAAAAAAATAATGACTAGCCTAAAGACCCTGACTCAGGCTACAATTAAATTGAGAAAATGTAAAAGTATCAGTGTTGATAAGATTATAAAGGTTGGAATGTTTGAGCTACTTTTATATAAAGAGTTATATCAACTTTGCCTGAGTGTGTTTGAAAATGGATGTTGGGGCCGGCCTGGCGGCATAGTGGTTAAGTTCAAGTGCTCTGCTTCGGCAGCATGGGGTTCTTGGGTTCTGATCCTGGGTGCGGACCTACACACCACTCATGAAGCCATGCTGTGGCAGCATCCCACACACAAAATAGAGGAAGACTGTCACAGGTGTTAGCTCAGGGACAATCTTCCTCAAGCAAAAAGAGGAAAATTGGCAACAGATGTTAGCTCAGGGCCATTCTTTCTCACCAAAAAAGAGGAAAATTGG